CCTGGGATTGCTGAAGCTGCTTGGAAGAGCTCCAAGCAGAATTTTGTCATTGGAGAACAACAGTGTGTATCTGTAAAACATGTTATATTACATTACTGAAGAGTGATCCATTTGTTCCCCATATCTTTGAAGTGTGCCTAGATAGCTTGACCCAGGAGGGCTCTGGCTGCCACTGCTGGATACTCCTACAATATGAACAGATAGAATTGGTCCGTCCCTTGGCTGTGCCTTTAAGCAGCGCCGGAGTTAAGCCTGGGATCCTGGAGGAGTCACAGCAAGTCCACCCGTTTGGAAAGGAAGCAGTTAAAGTGGTCAAGTTTGCCAGGAAATTGAATAAACTAGAGGTAGTGCTTAAGGCTCATGATGACTAGCTCAGACCATTCAGTGGAGACCACAGTTAGAGCCAGTGAACAGTGCTGTAGTGTCTGCAGACTCCCTGCTTCCCCTCCCACCTCCATTTACAGCACTTAAAAAAAAACAAGGATTGGGCTTGAGACCACAAGCTCAGAGCCAGTGGGGCTCAAATAGTCTGCCAGCTGGACTTATGTAAGTAGAGCACTGATAACATTTGGTTGCCTTTTCCATTATTCGTGTACTATATGTAGCATTCCTTTGTGTCACGCAGAACTGAAATGTACGTGGTGTGCAAGCAAGAGATCTTTGCCTTTCCAACTTGCTATTTTTCATCTTTTTCCTTTGGATTTCTCTCAGGAGTTTTCATTTTAATTCTTAGTAAATCTTACCAGGTCTTTTTCACTTCTTCAGGAGAAGAGAGGGACCTCCTTCTCAACCTCAAAATTACAGCTGGGGAGACCCTAGGTAAGAATCACTCCAGCTGTGTCGAGACAGAAGTGTGGAGGCTCCTGTGCAAGAGCCAGCCCCGTCAGCATGGCTGGTGTGCTTGCTGCTGCTGCTGCACGCTGGGCCACTGCCGCAAGCACTGTCTTTGTTGAACAAGTAACTAATGTAAAGGAGACTGAAGCAGTGGTTTCTAAGGCTCCCGGTCCTTTTGGGCAGAGTCAGTGGAATTAGTTTTATTTCTTGCTTTTTTTAGAACGGGTGTGGGAAAGATGAGACTCTCTTTTGAATTGAAGAGTGTGCTGCTCTAATGAGTATTGATTTAGGGCTCCGTTGTTAATCCTGTTAGACTTCTGATTTGGAAAGGGGCTTCCTTCCTTTTGATTGTGGCTTTAAAGAAGCTCTGTTTGCACTCCGTGTTTCATACCGAGCTAATTTGTAAAGTACTTTCTGGGAGCTTGGCAGATCCTTCCCATAGTCTGTCCTGTTTCTGCATGTCCTGTGTTTCTGCATTAAAAGGTGTACCTCCCTTGGGTGTCTGGAAGGCTCTTTGACACAGGAAAATCTCTGTGATTTACTATGGACTGGCAGGGTTCTGCATTAACAGGGCAGAAACAGTAGATTGGGAAACTGTGGTGGAGGTTATGTATAATGGCAGTCATTTTACGGCTGAGACCTGTTTGAAAAGACTGCTTTGTGTTTGGTGTCTCACCAGGTTCAGCTCATTTACCCATTGTATCTTATGCCAGTGCACAACAGAAACCTGTGTTTCCTCCCCTTCTCTGCACCCTGGAGTTGTGAATGTGGTTTCCTTGTATGTATGGGATGAGGCAGCACTGATTAAATGTTGGTAGAGGGTGAAAGTAAGCCCTAATGCCAAACTCCAGCTAGCAGCGTGTTGTCAGATCCTGCTCCTGGCTGCACATCTCCCTGAGCCAGCTTGGTTTGCTGAGCTGCCAAGGTGGCATTGCAGCCAAGGCATAGAAACCTGTATAAGAACAGAGCCTACCTATGAGCTGGGGTTGTCCTGCTCCAAGATGATGGCTTAAAGTATGAGAAGTATTGTGTGTAGCTCTGAGTCTTGCTGTTTTCCTTAAGGATTTGAGGGGTCGTGAAATGGAGGCTGTGGCTCCTCTGCCCTGGGGTAACAGCAAGAAGAAGGAAAGAAACAAGCCCTGGAGAGAATTTCCTCATTCCTCTCTCCTGTCCCACCCTGTTTGTTTTCTTATGTGGTAGGCTATTGCAGAGTACAAAAAAAAAATCCTTGTGTGTGTGACCCTGGTAACTGCAACATTGAGGCAGGTGCACCGTGAGGTCTGTGCCCTTCAGGTGTGCAAATGCTTCAAAATACCTGTGCTGTCTGCAGCCACAGTCTGTTCCAGAGTCTCTCTAGGGCGTGCTCAGGAATCCACTCCAATGCCTCTCTTTCTCTCTGTGCAAACATGTACAACAGGCAGCAGACAAGAGATCAAGTCACCCATTCAGACAAAAATACCTGATGAAGTGCTGGGTTTGTACAAGACTAAATGTATTTAAAGAATTTGCAGTAATAGAAACTTATGTGTGTGGATTTTTTCCTCCAGGTATGGAGTCAGACTTGCTAAAAACAGTGCCCTTCTTTTTGTGGTACGCATAACTCCATGTCACTTTGTCTCTTAAGAGTCTGTGCAAGCAAACCAGAGATTTGTAGCTTGAAATACTACACAGCCATTAACCTGTTGCTGCTGCTGCCCTAGATACTGTTTTTTACCCCAAGGCACAGGTGGAAACCTAAATTGTAACTCAGAGACTGATTGTACTGGGGTGTTCCACTGGAAGTGATTTATTTTTAAACATTTATCCATGTGTTGGTTACCTTTAGTAACACAAAAGACAGCTGAAGGGGCTCAGTCTAAGTTATTTCCTCTTATGTTACTTAATATCCCGTCCTTTTGAGGATCTCATAAAATGTCTTTCAGTGTTGGGTAACTGCAGTAGCAGTTTGGATTTGGTGTTGCAGCGCTAGTATAGTGAGAAGGAGCTACACGGGTGAGCATCAAGCGTGCTCTTTGTAACCTGTACCAAGACCCTGCCCAGCCAGTTGTGTATAGTTGACCTTGTTGTTTGTTAGTACACTGTAAATAGCTAGAGAACACATCCCCTATTTCTCCCTTTCTGAAGACCAGTGATGGTAAATCAGTGAGAAGTTGGACACAACCCAACCACAAAGGGAGTTTTTAATCTGGTAAACAGCCAGGGCTTCTGTGGGGCGTATTGGAACCTGCAGAGTTTGGCAGGAGCAGGAAATCCTAAAATGAATAAATAATTGAATTGGACAGTAATTACTAGTGAAAATGTTGCATCCGAAGCAAAAGTGATGTATCAGTCAACTGAAAGAAGAGAGAAGAGATGAGATTTTGGCTGAGTGAGAGGGGTATATTACTTCTTTCCTCTTGCAGCACACTTATCTTTGATCCTGTGGTGTAAAGCACTTTGGCTGTTCTTCCTTCCCTGCTGCAAAAGACAATTTGAAGTTTGTGTGTCTTGGCAGAGGATTCCTTTCCCAAGCGTTTGTATTTTGGGACGTCAGTTCTAGTGCTTGAATATTTCACCTCTGGAACAGTATCATCTTCAAAGCTATGCTTTATGAAAATCACACCATTTGTTCTGCAGGTATCCTTTGGTAATGCTTTTCTGTGTCAGGTGAGCTGCTTCTTGCATTAGTCTCTCTCTGTTTTTTCCTCCCCCGGAACATTTTTCTGAGCTGTTTTTCTGGTCTTAATATTTAAACACAAATCAAGGACAGAGTGATCTAAAAATATTAGCATAAATATATGGACAGGGAATACATTCTGCTTTTAGACAGTGCTATGAGATTATATTACAAGTTACCTTTCCAGGGGAGTTACTGTGAAGTTGTCTAATGCAGTAAGAGATGGGCTACAAACTTTACCTGCACAGAGATGCAGAAAATACCTGAGCTGTGTATTGCCGGTGTAGCTTATACCAGCTGAGTTGGGTGCATACAGGTGCTTACTTGCATTATTTAATTTCAGTGTTTGCAGTGTGTATTAATTCTTTCTCTTGAGTTCTTCCCCAGCACTGCTGACTTAGTTTCCTCATCTTCCCCAGATCATGCAACTTATCTCCTTGTTCTTTTGAATTTGACTGCAAAGCCTTTTGAGATCACCCCGTCACTGACGCTTGGCATGGCTGCACTGGCAGTCGTGTTCTGGGCCACCGGTGATTCCCACACAGCTCTGTCATACGGTCACTGTCACAGACTGAACCAGCTCCACCATCAGCTGCTTGTCGTTTGGGGATTTGTTTGCTAGGGCTGCTTTCAGTTGAGAAAGCTCTTCCTAGAGTTTCATTTTCCCTTCCTAATCTAAATATATTCATACCTATCTCTTCAAACACCATATCATCGTTTAGCTTAAAAAGCTCTTTTTTTTTCCCAGTTGTAAACACTCCTGATGATGTATCTGAAAGGAAGTATGTCTCATTTTTTTAAAAAAACTTTAATTTGATAAAGTATCTGTTTTTTATTTCACTTGGTTTTACTCGAGCGTTGGACCAGACTGGGAGGATACACAGAGTTCCATACAGGGTCCACTACAGCAGTGTCACTACTTACCCTTAGTGGTATCTCACCTAGACTATGCTAGGATTGCTTTTGCCTGGCTGTCACACTGACAGATGCTGTCATTTCAGGAGTGACTGGTATTCCCAGGTTGTTTTCTCTCCTGTTGCTGTTCGCAGATGGTGACTTTTTATTTCACACCAGAAATTGTCCATTGTTCCATCCCAAGTTGTGCTGGGGTGCAGAATGCAGAAGCCATGTCCACATCTAACCACAAGGTGTATTTTTATTTTTAACATTGTGTGTCCAGACATACCTGATTTGCGGTAACCAGATTAGGGATTTGGACTTGCAGCCTTTTGAGTGTGTCTCTCATTGTGTGTAATGTGATTAGAGGGGAGATGTGACAATGTAAAGCTCATGGAAATTAAATTGGTTTGCCTGTGGCTATTGCAGACCTTTGCCTGATAATAGGTCTTGTACCACCTAACATAATTTCTTTGTTAAGCATGTCCCAAATAAAAAGCGTAACTGTCAATTAAGAGAAATATTGTAATCTGATCCTTTAGTATATGCAATTTAAAATGGGGCGTGAGATATTTTTTGCCTCTTGCATGACTGCAATTGAGAAGAGACTTGTGTTTTTTCCTCTTACAGATAAGAAATGTTCCTTTATGCTGCGCACTTAGGCTGCCTTTCTGGCAAGAATGTTTAGGATAGTGCAGCAATACGATGATGTAAAGCTCAGAGGGACACACCTCCTCTAAACTGTCCTGCTCGCTTTGCTGTGTGTTCTCTGTAGTCAGGGTGCAGGACCATGAGGATGCTCCAGAAGTTTATCCAGAGGCAGTAGCTCTCAGTGGCTGCTTAGAGTATTGTCTCTTCAGTAGCAGTAGAGAAACAATATTCTGTTTAGAAAAGTGCTTCTTATTATATATTTGTTTTGTTTTGTTTTTCAGGGTCACACTTTTCTACGTGCCTTTTTGAATATATCTGTCATAAAGATGAGTCACGATCACCACATGAACAGCTCCATGATGCCAATCACACATCCTCCTGAACATCACCACTCAACGGCAGCCCCAGGACATGGTCATGGATCTGACATGATGATGATGGTAAGTGGAAAAGTCATAATTAACCAGAGAGCTTTTCTTTGTCTGTGGTTCAGAGTAACTTGTAATTTTAAAGACTATGAGAATCGGAAATTAAATTTAGCTTTGGAAGGCATGAATCAATCCAGTTAAAACACAGACCCCATTGTGGCTCTTCTGGAATGAAGGGGTGGCATAAGGTGATATGCAACACAAAATGTATTTCAGAGCTGGAGATCCTTTGGCAAAATGGTCTTTTCTTGCAAAAACCTTTCTAGCAGCCAGCCTGGTGTCTGCTCTTTAGCCAGCTAAAGACAGAAATGCAAAGGAAGCATTTTCCTGCAAGAAACGGAGGTGGGTGGAGTTCTCCAGACTGCTAGGGTTAACAAAAGCTTTAATTGGCACTAAGAGATTGCACACTAGTATGATGGATTGTACTGACCTGCAGGCAACCATCCTCTGTGCCCTTTTCCTCCTGAACTTTAAGTACACACTCAATTTGGGCAGCAAAGTGCTACCAGGGCTCTTTGCCAGTTGGTGTTAAGGCTATGTTGGTCCTGAATCCTGCTGCTCTAGCTAACTTTGATTTAAACAAGTTCAGACTTGTGCATGCTGGCATCACTGAAGCTTTGCAGAGATCCTGGCCAAAGTTTCCATGGAGATGACTGTAGGATCTGTGTTTGTATGTAGCTAGTTTGAGGGACTTTTTCAGCTTTTTCTCCCTTTTCTGAATACTTTTGGAGTGAGTTTCGGATTATTAAAACATGACTCTATGGTTAACCTTTGAAAGGAGGGGAGAGAGCGTGCATTTCCATTTCAAATGAGAATATACTCAGGAGTGTATTTTGTAAGCCTTCAGTTAAAGTTTGCCTGCCAGCTATGTGCCCTGAAGAAGGAATCAAGAATCACTGCTGCTTCTTATATTGCAAACAGTATCATTGAAGGAGAAGAGGGGACTAGAACAGCTTTCCCCTTTGTTAACATGGCCCAGTACAAAGCCCAGGAATGGTGGTGGAACTTATGGTCCAGCATTGTCACTGATGTCCTTGTGAAGTTCTTCATATAATCTAACAGCTAAGTATTGGCATTCTCTGATCTGTTACTTTCTACATAAATGCCTTTTCTTTACAAGTGTCAAGTGCTCTTATCTTCAATGGATAGTTACAGGACCCTGCCTTACCCTGCAACTGAAAACTGTGATGAATCACACGAGATTTTGAATTACATTGCACATAAAACTGCCAGGGAAGGAAGTAAGTAGGTACAGCATCTTAGATAATAACTGAACACATTTTAATGTATGCATATTCCCATTCCTCACTCACACTGAGTAATGGGCTCTGTTTCATTTGTGGTTCATGGAACTAGGCTGTAATGCTCCTTGGTTTCTGTGGTTTTTGTTTTAAATGTAAAAATGTTAAATTCATTAAAGAAATAGAAGTACTCTCTAAAAGATGGTAATTTCTGCTCTGGCGATAATGAATGTCTGCTGATTCTTATGGATGCTGAAATTAATCATAATTCTGATTTTCAGCAAATAACTTTAATTAAGCAATGAAAGGAGTTCAAAGAGAATTTCCTCTAGCTTAGTGAATAGTTTACACATGAAAACACTGTATGCAGCTGTGGTCAGGACCTGCTAAACTGCAGTGTATTTACCTGGATGAGAAGATTATATGAACTCCAGCTAGCTGGGTGATCACAGCTTCCCACAGCATTCACTATGCAGGTTCAGGAGCCCTTATTTTCACTCAGGGGAAGCTGTGGTGTTGCTTTATATATAATATTCCTTGTTGTACCTGTATTTAGGTCTCTGTTTCCCATCAGATATTAGGAGGTTCTGTAGAGAGACAATAGTCTGCTGGCGCAGTGCAGGATGGGACCAGAGGATTCCGCTATACAAGCCCTTATCCATGTGAGCTCATACGAGGTCAAGGTGGAGAGAAGAAAGTGCCCCAACCTATGAGTAGTCATGAGGAGGCAAGGATGAGCTCCACAGAGATATCCCCAATCCTTGACTACTTCTGATGCTGGGGAGGAAGGGAGCTCCAAAAGCAAGGAGAAGGCACTCTTCTGTAGCAGGTACTGTGAAGGGCAGTGCCCCCTGCCCAAGGGCACTGCCTGAAAGAGCTGCCCACTAGAATTGGAACCTGGAGCATCTTCAGCCATGTCTTGCTAGTGTGTGTTACACTAGATTTACTGAAGAGTTTCTTCGAGTCTATCTGGTGACCAACTGAAATGATCTAAGTTCTTGTCATAATACAAAAACCTTTGCTAACTCTTGTGAGCTCCATCTCAGGATGAGCTATTCAGGCTCATCTTGATGTTCTTTATGTTTTGGGCAGGCAATGACTTTCCACTTCAGCTATGAGAATGTGCCATTGCTGTTTTCTGGACTTACAATCAATACTCCTGGAGGTTAGTAAAACTGTCTTGTCCAGTCCAAACAATAAGTTTGCAATTGACTAATGTTTCAGGAATTACCTTGCTATTTATGCCAAAAATATGCAGGCACACTGCGTTGTGTCTGTTTTAAATGGCATCTGTGGGGTGAAAGAAAAAGGGAGATGTTTGTATCATTCATGAATTCGACTGGTCTTATTAGCAACAGTGCTGGTTTCACTTCGTGGGTGAAGTTTCAATTAGTGTATGGATGAGATGCAGATTTACCATCTGTACCTGCGTGCACACAGTGCCCAGCCATAGCCTGTGCAGTGTGATGTGCTTGTTGAATCACACTGTGTCTCTTCTGACACGTTTTAAAGCAAACGTCTCTTGTTGCACAGATACAATAATGTTTCCTCTTTTGTCAGAAATGGCTGGTGCTTTTGTGGCTGTCTTCTTCCTGGCCATGTTTTATGAAGGCCTTAAGATTGCTCGAGAGTGTCTGCTCCGTAAATCCCAAGTCAGCATTCGCTACAACTCCATGCCAGTGCCAGGTCCCAATGGCACTATCTTGATGGAGACACACAAAACTGTTGGGTAAGAATTTCACTTCATTCTAAGACAAATTTCTTCCACAGCTGACAAAGGCAAAAACTGGGACAGAAAAAACTTTATGCAGCCAGTATTATTCTCTGCAAAGTATATTGACTCTAGAGTGGGACACTGCTTGACACTGGAGGACACTGTGCTTGAGTCACTTGGCCATCCTTTAGGGTGGGGAAGAAAAGGAGGAAAGCAGCAAGGGGTCAGATAAGCTTGGTTTTTATCCAGAGCAGTAACGAACACAGTTGAGGAGTTCCCAGGAACAGAATTTGAGTGTTACAGCCAGCGAACCCAACAGAAAATACTTAGGATCCTTCTATTGACAGGTAGTCAAAGCCTCTACTCAGAAAAGAAGCTACTCCACTTACTGAATGTGGAGGTAAAACAAACTTGTAGAAGTCCGTTTCTAAGCTAAAAGTTTTGTTCTCCCAGTAAGTACCATACTTTCTTTGTTATCAGTCAGCTCTCTGGGGAAAAACACAGTTACAAGTGACAGATGCATGGAGAAGTCCAAAGTCCAGCCTTCTTTGCTGTCTTCTCTGCCATTTCATGCCCACCTTGGCATCCTGTCAGTCCGAGAGCTATGTTTTCTCTTTGGGGATGTGCATCTTCCCACCTGTGTCTCATGGATGCTGACTGTTCTTTGGGTTTTGTGTTCTCAGACAGCAGATGCTGAGCTTCCCTCACCTCCTGCAGACTGTACTGCACATCATTCAAGTCGTGGTGAGTTACTTCCTCATGCTGATCTTCATGACGTACAATGGATACCTCTGCATAGCTGTGGCAGCAGGGGCAGGGACAGGCTATTTCTTCTTCAGCTGGAAAAAGGCAGTTGTTGTGGATATCACAGAGCACTGCCATTAACACTGGATGCTGCCCAGAAGCCTCTCCACCCCACTGCTCTCTTGAAGCGCAGCCATCAAAAGGACTGGATCATTCCTAAGCTGAAAGAGAATCAATATAAAGAAAATCAACTGGAGTTCACCACAAGTTCCTAGCTGGGGTGTAGGGATGTGGGGAGCTGGGGTATGCTGCTCCCCCTTGCTGCAGGCTGGCAGCAGGGTTGACTCTTGAGGGTCCCGTGGTAGCCATTCTTGGCTAGGATTTGCTTTATTCTTAGATTATGCTGTGATTTAAATTAGTTGGCTGACAGAAATGTAGAAATTGTTCTTTTAAAAAAAAACAACCAAACAAAAAAAAAACTTTTTTTTTTTTTAAATTGTAAATGCTCATCTGTGAGGGTTTTATGAACCGTAGGTAAAGATCAAGGTTGCCAATGGAGCCTGTGTGCAAATGGCTATTTTAATTTTACTTTTTTCAATATGTACATAATGCTGGGGAGGAGATCTCCCTGGCATTGTGGCTTTTGGGGCCAATGACACCTTCTGATGCAGAAGGACTCAGCCTCTGAGGCAGATTTGGTGCTGCACATTAGACACACTCAGGTGTGTCCTGGCAAGGGAGTACTTTGACATAAGTATGTGACCCGTGTGCTTCAGGGGATCTAGATGAGTCTGTCCTCCAAGCCTGTCAGAGTATGATGAGTGGTGTTAATCTTCTGATGTATCCAGCAGCTTTACTCAGCTCAAAGTGGTAACATTTGCGTTTGGCTGCTCTCACTTTCCAGTCATGGAAATATACAGAGTAGACGCAGGACAACAGTTGTGTATTTACAGGACAAAAAGGCATTCAATAAAGCATTGAACCCACATTTACTTCATGTTGAATCGCACCTGGATGAATCTAGAGCTAGGCTGTTGGTTTACTAAAACTAGTTCTGTAAATGAGGCAAGAGCCAAATAATTATTTCATGACACTGAAGATTAAAATGTCTGAAGATTGAGATGGAGGAAATAAACAACCATGTTCCTGTAAAAGAGGTATTTGGGCAAGAGAAGAAAGAAAAGATACGACTACAGCAGCCTTTGGTCTCTTCTTGGGTGAAATTTGGAGCAACTTAGGTTGATTAAAAAGTATTCCTAACCCAGATGACTTCTCTTTATCATAATAATCATGCTATGACCATCTTAGCTTGGAGGTGCAAGTGTTATCAGTGCCAGTGGCGGACAAGTTTGTAGCACAGTAAAGCATGCCCTGTTCAGTTCTGTGAGCTGTACACATTTCACTGGCAAGACAGGCTGTGACACAGGCAAAACCAGCTTCCTGCATGCATGATGCCTAGAACATGCTTTGGGTTTCCTAGGGAGCAGTTTTGGTTTAGCACTTCATTATTAAACTGCTTCTTGTTGTAGGGAATCTTGTGCAGAGTAGGATGTGAAGCTCATCATTCTACTCAGGGTGCCCAATTTTTGCCTGTAACTGGCTGAGAGGGAAGACAGCGGGATTTTCAGAAGGGCACTTTTTGAAAAACAGGCACCACTTTCAGAATGGAACTGATACCTGGGATGTGCCACAAGAACAGGGAATCCTTTTCACAGGGAAGTATCTGGGCACATGCAGTAGCATTTTTTTTTTTCCAAGGACACAACTAGTCACACTGTTAGCAGTAGCTGTGTAAGGAAAGCTGATCTTTGAAGAGGAATTACATTTCTTTACCCTGTAAGCCTTACAGGGCAAGGCCCATCTCTGTGTATGTCGTTCTTCACTGTCCTGATGCTACTACATCAGCACAGAGCCCACCCTCGTCCTACCAACTTTTTTGAACTGCTGCTACCAGGATCTTGAATTGCACCACCTAAACTCAACTGTCCTGGGTCAATGCCAGCCATTTATTTGGACATCCTGTTTTCTTTGTGCAGTGCAAATACAGAATAAAAGGAGATTAATTAAAAGCAGACTTAGGTTTCTAAAGAGCCTCTTTATGTAGCAAATTTGCATCTGGGTGAAAGAAGCAAAGTTATTTTCATGGAAAAATTCTAGCCACCTCCTGATGAGAGATAAGAAAAGCTCTTCCCCAGTCTGATATCTGAAGGGAGTTACGTTTGTAGCAGACTGCAGAAGGAGATACTGATGCTCCGTTGCTGCATCTGTCAGAAAGGTAAAAATCTGTGCCCTCTGAGCAATCATGCCTCTCTGTGAGAGTGGAAGACAGACCCTTCCAATCCCTGTGAGAGAGCTGTGAGGAAATCTTGGTTTTTGTCAGAGAAAATTGAAGCAGTTAAGTCCTGGTGATGGTTGTTTATGTTTTGAAAGATTTACACTGCAGGGTCTTGATCCCTGAAAGAGTTCAGAGCCGATGTTGCCAGGTTTCTCTCGAATGAGCCAGAGTTGTTGCCATTACAGGGGTGTCTGATTATAGGGTATAGTCATGAGTGGCTTTGCATGATGGCAGTAGTTACTTCATATACCTCTTGCTGTTTCTTTCTCTACAAGTAGAACCTCTGCTTGGCCTGACCTTCCTGCTCTCACCTTTTAGCCACATTTCCTTGTTTTCAAGTGACCAGACTTGAATTCTCTGATCCAAGTGGTCAGAGATGGATGACTTGGAGATTAGGCAATAGCTGTGGCTTGTACGATATACATTTGGTTTTCTTGTTAGCTTTTCTGCCTTGTTCTACGTGTAGCATCTGTGCCCTTGAAATTGTTTCCCCCCCAGTGATGAGTACCTCTGTCTTCAAAGGGTCACCTCCTGCCCATGTTCACAGAAGAGGGCGCACAGCTTTCTCCAGTGTGCAGAGAGGGAAGTAACACTGACCTAGCAGTGGTCACTTGGGGAGCACCAGCCTGGGCAGAAGTCTCCCAAGTGTCTAGCGAGGGCCTCAGCTGCCTTCCAGCAGTCTGCAAGAATGATGTACTGGGCAGTACCCGAGTTAGAAATGGGAGCCGGGCTGTGCTCTGGGGAGAGGTGCACAAGGGAAGGTCTGAAGGGAAGGGGCTTAAGGAGAGAAGGTGGAGGGCAGTGTCCTCTCTGCTTCTGAGCTCGCTCAGAATTCAGGATTCCAGTCCATGTCTCTCTGCCAGCTTTGGCCATGCGCTCTTTTGGTTCAGTGTTGACAATCTAGAGAAGCTGACTACCTCCCTGTGTCCCAGCCTCCACCCTGGTCCACCAGATGCCACCAGCTGCCGTGTTCTTGGCTGAGGTTGCCGTTCACTTTGCCAGAGTCTGAGCAAAACCTAGCCTCCCTGCCGATGACTTCTGACTGTGTTTGGTGCAATCTCAGCCTTTCTGCTGGCTGTATGTAAGGTTCTCATAGCAACACTAAATTCACATTAAGTAGTGCTTGGAGGGAGGTAAAGACTAATGATTATGAGACTTGAGGAAATTAAATCTGTATGTTAACACACATGTAGCGTGCTTGGAACGTGATGGCCGGTGTCTGTCTTTGTACCCTGATGTTTGGTCTCAACACGCTGTGCCTGCACATTATGCAAAAAAAACATCCGGGCTGTGTTCATCACCTGGCTTCTGTTGCTTTTCTTTGAGTGCCTTTTCAGCTTGTCTAGAGCCAGTCCCACCAAATCCAGCAGGATTTCTAGTTTTGTTTACAGTGGAACTGTCGTTCTTGTTTTTACTCTTGCTCTTTGTGGAGGTAACTTGTCTAATATTACTGTGAATATCAAGAATCTCCTGTATATAATTAACCAATAAACTAGATGGCATTTTACTGTGGTGGAAGTGTGTTTTGGAAACAATCCTCAATGCAGAGACTGCAGTTGAAGTGCTGGCTGGTGGCTCTTACCAGAGTGTTCAGAAAGTCACTCTAAGAATACGTGCCCATTTTTATTAGCAAGAAGCCCCGCAGCCAGGCAACTCCAGCCTGGCCTTGCCCAGCCCCTTGTCTCTAGCACGACTCCTGCTGTGAGGTGGAAGGGAGCAGCAGGGGCTGCGTGTCCTCTGCAGGTGGTGGGATGGGAGCGAGGAGCAGCGTCCTCTGGGCCCCCCCCACCCCCCCCAGCACTGAGCCCTGAGGCTGCTGGAGGGGGGATGCGGGAAGTCACCGAGACGCGAGTTGCTGCTTGTGTCAGTCCAGTTGTACTCTGAGATGGAAAGAGGAGCTGGTGCTTCCCAGATCTGCTTTCCCCTGCAGAGGGAAGAATCCAAGGACGCGTTTTAGGGAGCTGCAATAATGAGCCCCCTTGGTGCACAGAAGGTGTCTGTGTGCGGCAGGGAATACCACTCTCCCTCCCCGAGGTTTACTCTAGGCTGTATTCATCCACATAAAATAAATGAGGAGCTGGGTTGGTATTTCTTCCCCTGTGCAACTCAATGTCCCAAAATGTTTCCCTGTCACACCTGGGACACGCTGGGGATGCCTGGATAGCAGAGCTATCTCTGGTAATTTTTTGTGGTGTTAGACTGCAAAAGCAGCTCTGCTGTCGGCCAGACTGTGGCTCTCTCCCGTTTGACGGATAGTTTGAAGTTTTAAGTTCTGTGCATTTCCCCAGCCTGGCCTAAAATTTGATGCACCTACAACACATGAAGCATGAAGTTAACGAGTCTGGTTTGGAATATTACTTGAGACACTGGGAAAATGTATGTGGTTGCTGTGTATGGAATATGGTACAAAGCAGTCCCAGCTGGGAGCAGTAGGAGCCTCCGCTCCCATCTCTGAATTCCCTGGGGGTGTCCTGGTGCCGGCCCAGGGCTGCTGGCACCCAGCTCTGCCTCCTTCCCTGGGCTGGAGGGAACGGTTTCTTAACTTGCTTCGTTCTGGTCACCTGCCTACAGTGAGACTCCTTTTTGGGGCTCTGCATTATCTCACCTTCCATTACGTGCCCAGGCAGCTGATGTTGTAAAGCCAGGTACGTGCTGGTTACTCTGTCTGAAATTGATCTGTCTGCTTTTTACCTGTCACCATCTATAAGGAAATAGTTGGTGACCTTTGATCCAAGCAACAAATATCCCTGGCAGCTACCTGAAACTCCATCTGAGGGTGACAAACCAGTGCAGCTGGGCTGATGCGCTCCCCAGGGCTGAATAAAAGTGAAACGGGTAAGCGTGAAGGAAAAACTGCTTCATCAGAAAAGACAGGATGCCAGTCTCTGTCCGTAAGCCTCGTATATGCTGCTGCACCCAGGTCTGCAGCTGCTCCCTGCCAGGGACCACATCCACACCCCAGCTGTGATGCCGAGCAGCAGTACAGCCCAGCCCCATGAGATGAAGCTAGTGGGCACGGGGACTTCTTTCAGTGGACACGGGGGCTTCTTCCCTGGCCTCCCCAGGGAAGGACGGAGCAGCACCTGGAAGGATTGCCTGGTGCGCCCAGTGCTGGGACACCCAACTGCCTTGATTCACACAGGCTTGTAGAACACCATCAGATACCACCCAGCACCTTGTCTTTAGCAAGGTCACCAGCTTTTAGGGCTGAAGGATTAAATGAACACATTCCCCTGGCTCCAGGTTTAAGATTACTACATCAGAAGATCCCTCTGCAGCGGCAGCATTTTACTGCCTTGCAGTATCGGGACACTGTGGTCTTGGTGCTCCTATCCCTGCCTGCACAGTCTCTGTGGCCATTTAAAGCGGCTTGTGTAATTATTTACCAAAAACAAAAAAAAAAAAGACATTTATTTAAAACAAAACACTTGGTCAGGGGGCGCTCATGGGCCTGTTAGCCAAGCTTAAAAAAAAAACAAACAGCAAAAGGGAGGGGGAAGGCCCGTGCCCCCGGTGCGGGGGGTGCCTGTTGCCGCCCCGCCGGGCCCCGGGGCCGCCCCCGCCGCTAAAACTCGAAGGTGCCGAAGTGGGCGGCGCGGCCGCCGGCTTTGGGCTGCGGCTTGTAGCCGATGCGGTCGCTGATGAGCTGCTCCCGGCTCTTGTGGTCGGCGCCCAGGGCGATGGCCGCCGCCGCCTCCTCGCCGGCCGCCGCCGCCGCCTCCTCCCGCTGCTTCTTGCGACTCTGCGGGGCAGAGGGGCCGCGTCACGGCGCTGCCAGCCGGCGCCTCGCAGGGTCCCCGGGGGGCGCCGCGCCCGGCCCCGCTCGCACCTCCAGGTCCTTCCGGACGCTCTCGAACTCCTCGATGTCGTCCAGCTTCAGCTCCAACCGCGTTGGCTTCCGCCGCAGCATCGCGCTCCAGCCCGGCCCCGCCGCCGCTCCGCCTCGGCCGCCGGCGACGGCCCGGCGCGCCCTCACCGCGCCCCCAGCCACACCTCCCAGCGTGCTCCGCGCCTCCTGCTATTAACGGGCACCGCGGCTCCCAACACGCTCCGCGCCCCCCGGCCACACTTCCCGGCGTACACAGCGCCTCCGGACACACCTCCCAGCGTGCCCCGCGTCCCCTGCCGCTAACAGGCACAGCGTCTCCCGGCGTGCCCCGCGCCCCACCGCGGCCACACCTCCCAGTGTGCACCGCGCCCCACTCCCGTTTCCCCCGGCCACTACCGGCCCCCGCGAAGCGGTTCCGGGGCAGCGACGTTTTCGCGGTTTCGCTCGGTTCCCGGCTCCCGCCCGCCATGGCCTCCGCGCGGGCCCCGGCGGCGCGTGGCGGCGCCCGGCCCCCCGTGCGGGCCCCCGCGCCGGCGGAGGTGGGCGGGGGGGGTGCGGTACCGGCCCGCGGGCCTGTGGGGTCGGGCGGTGCGGGGAGGCCGCGAGCGGAGCGCTTGTGTGTGCTCACGAGTTTTTACAGAATCTTTGGGGTTTTTTTTTCTTGGAAAGCTTGCTGTAAGACTCCTCTCCTGGGAGGAGTGAGCTGCTCGCCCTCTGCCCCGCTCTGCTGCCGGGGAGGGCACCGGGAGCCGGTTGGTCGGCGTCACTCGTGCCCTTCCTGGGGCTCGTTCAGCGAGATTAGGAAAAGTTGCATGGGCTAAACTTACTTTTTAAAAAATTAAAAAGCACCCCCCCCAAACCCCAGAGCCTTAAAAATGCGATCCAGTGAGATAATAAGAAACGGAAGACAACGTGGTCTAATTTAAACAAATTATTTAATGGGGCACTTCACTTTGGATCTTGGGGCACGGCCTGATTGCCTGAAATGAGCCTCACGTAGAATTCCAGGGTCTCCTCGTGGTGTGTGCACAAACTCTCTAGCAGAGCAGCACTTTCTTGTGCTGCCAAGCTCCTTGTTTTCTCCTTTTTAGCCAAAACACACTTAAAATTCTGCCTTTACCTTCCAGGCCACAAAGAGCAAGCCCGCAGAAGAGAGCGATGCTCCTCCGCCCAAGAGAGCCCCCATCTTCTATGGCAGTTTGGAAGAGAAGGAAAGGGAACGTCTGGCAAAAGGAGAGTCAGGGCTGCTGGGGAAAGAGGGGATGAAAGCTGCAATTGAGGCTGGCAACATCAACATAAGCAGCGGTGAGAATGTTGAACTACCTTTTTTTGTTTTCCCCATCTTGTTCTGGAATGTGACACCTTCAAAAGCCTCTGATCAGCTTTGAGCATAATTGAAAGCAAAAAAGGCGAGACCGTTGCCTGTACTGTTGGCTCTTTGTTTGGCCCTTCCTTTTTGAGGGGAACCCCTTGTCCAATCGCTGTTCTCAATCCGACCCGTTCGGTTTTTGTCCAGGTGAGGTCTTTGATCTCGAAGACCACATGAGCGAGCGGCAGGCGGAGGTGCTGGCTGAGTTTGAGCGCAGGAAGAGAGCCCGGCAGATCAACGTGTCCACTGACGACTCTGAAGTGAAAGCCTGTCTGCGAGCTCTTGGGGAGCCCATCACGCTCTTTGGAGAAGGGCCTGCAGAAAGGAGGGAGAGGTGCTGTGTCTGCCCCGAGCATTGCGAACTGGGAACGCTCAGCTTTACCCAGTTTATCAAATTCCTGATGTTTTCCTTGTAGCTGGGGTGCAGTGAGTGCCGCCAGTCAGTAATGCTTCATTACAATGCAGCCAGAATGTGAGGAAGAAAGGATGGCTGACAATGATTATTTGTCAGGTTAGCTGAGAAGTCACTCATTGAATACAATTTCATGTTTTTCTTTTCAGATTAAGAAATATCCTTTCAGTGGTTGGCACAGATGCATTAAAAAAGACCAGGAAAGATGACGACAGGTCTAAAAAATCCAAAGAAGAGGTAACGGTGTCTCTTGTTCTCTCAGTGCTGAGGGAGATACGTGTGATACCCTTTGCAGTGCCTTACTTTGTCTCTGCCTTGTCCAGGACTCTTGGTTTTGGTCCATCTGTGGATTCTTATGTCATCCCTTCCTGCTTCTCGGTGTTGCCCATTTTGGCAAAACTCTGGTGATGTGGTACCGAAATCAGGAGCGTTAAGGCTGGCTTGTCCTGCAGGCCAAATTCCATGCTGCACAAAGTGTGTAGAAAAGGAGATCAGGTGTTTGGACTGTTCCTTACTATAGCAACTCTTGTTGTTTGTCTTCATGCTTGGGAAGAAAAAAAATATGCTCCTGCTACCGCATCTGTTTCTGCCTTTGGTTCTTCCTTTTTTTTCCTCCTGTCTATTTTCTGAGTCCATTTTTTCCTTATTATTTTTGAGGGTTGCTATAAGCAATAAGGATGATTTTTGCACCTCTGGGCTTTCTTTTTACTGGGTGATGTGTAGGAAGGAGCTGTATGTCATTAAGTAAAAGTGAGTTAGCGTTCAGCTGAAATATTCTTGAGTGAAACAGCAGCACCTCAGGATCTGATCTGTAGGGCAGAGTTTGACTTGTCTCTCTTAATCCCTTTTTCTAGGGCTTATAGTTATGCAAAATGCCCTTAAAAAGAGGCCTTAACACAGTAAGATTTAAGAGCAGATGCTGTGGTGGCACTTGGATACTAAAAGGTTACCTAAGGTAGCTGAATGGGAGAGCTTTTTCTTCAGTTTTGTTCTTTTTCTTACAGTATCAGCAAACCTGGTACCATGAAGGACCACGCAGTCTGAAAACAGCGAGGCTGTGGCTTGCTAACTACTCGCTCCCTAGGTAAGGAAAAATGGCCCAAAGGAAGGAAGGAGATGCAACCTTTTGTGAAATCTAGCTGCTAATCCCACTGTGGGTAGTGCAGGAAATCAGAGATCGAAGGAATGGGGAACATACACTGGTAGCCAAGTCCAGTGAGCTCCGAGCGTGAGTTCTCAGTGAGAGACTGGGCAGTTGTGGGGGGTGAAGGCCTGTTTCCAGCAGCAGGGTAGGGAAAATGCAGGGGCTTCTTACTCCACCTTTGCTCTTTACAGGGCGGTGAAGCGGCTAGAAGAAGCCCGGCTGCTCAAAGAGATTCCAGAGGCGACCAGGACATCGCAGAGACAGGAGCTGCACAAATCCCTGCGAGTAGGTTTGGCAGCTGCTGTGTTTAAAACTTTTTTGCTGATCTCCAGAGAGATCAGAAAGAGATCAGCTGCCCGGAGGTGCTGTCCAGGGGCACGTTGTTTTCTGTGCTGTGCCTGTCACCTGCTGGAATGCTCTGCTTTTTCTCTCTTTCCCTGGGGTATGCATGTTCTAACTCTTTCTTCAGTGATTCAGAGAGATGTATTTTTGCGTGGCAGAGGGATGAAGACACATCCCCCCATTGCCTTGCCACTTGTCTGTGAAGCTAAAGGAGTTTATTCCTGGCTTTGTCACAGGTTTAGCTGGCTAGGAAGGGACTGCTCAGTTTCCTCTTCTTGTACCATGGTCACTAGTGCATAAAACCAAGGGAAATAATGACAAACACAGTAATGCAAAACATGTTTTAGATGTCTCCAAGATGCCCTTTTTGTAAATGTTAAGTCAGATTCCCAGCTTAACCGAACAGAATGGCTCAAGCACAGCGTGTGCTGCTGCTCCATTCCAGTTTATACCCAGAGCCGTTAGCTGCCAGAGGATTTGCTTCTGCCCTAAGTGCACCCACTGCCGAAGTTGCGAAGCAGGCCTGCGGGGTTACTGGTGGCAAGTACGGCGGGCGGGCGGCACGTTGGCAGCTAGGCTGTGCCCCAGGGCCGTGCTACCTTCCGTGGGTCAGGCTGGCTCCTGGCCCCCCTCCTTGGCGCTGGAGTGGCTCCGAGGCAGCTCCTTCCTGGGAAGTGACTTTCCCAAGGCTCTGCCTCCTGCGTACGTTTGCCTCCCTCACCTCAGTCTTTGGCTGGGGCTTTCTCTAGGCTGTTTGTACTTTGCTTGTTTATTCTTTTCTTTGTATTTGGTTACAGTCCTTAAATAACTTCTGCAGTCAAATTGGAGACGATCGCCCACTGTCCTACTGCCACTTCAGCCCCAATTCCAAACTCCTCGCTACTGCCTGTTGGTAAGTTTTCTTTTACAGCACTTGCTTTAGGGGCTGGGAGAGCACAGCAGGGGTGAAGGAGGGGGATGTTACTGGAGGCTTGGGAATCATGAGAGGTCATAAATGCTTCTTTTTCCTGCTCTGAACTCTCTTCACTTTGTTTTAGAGCTTAGCAGAGATTTCAATGAGTCCATTAGTTCCTACGTCTGGTTGCCCCGAGTGCATTGGTATTTTAGCAGAACCCCTCTGGATGGTTTTGCAGCTTGGTGTTTGATCTGTTCTTTGTTCCTCTCAGCATTGACACCTATTTCTTGTCTTCAACAGGAGTGGATTATGCAAGCTCTGGTCTGTGCCTGACTGCAACCTTGTTCACACCTTGCGAGGTAGAGAGCGACCTTCAGCGAGACTCTTTGCGTAGCCCTTTTGTTCCTCTCTAGGTTTACATATCTGCCTGACTTGTGACTCAAAATGCGGTGTTCTCTGGGCAGATTTTATGCTAATGAGAGCATCACTCAAGCTTGTGGAGCATGAGCATGTCTCATATAATCAAGAGGAAGTCTAAAGGCCTTTCCCTTAGAGCTAAGACCCAAGTTTCCTGTTTCTGAATGGTATTTTGTTTTCTTTCAAAACCTGGTTTGAGTTATTTAAAGCCAAATATCAGCATTTTTGGCCAGGTCACTTAACAGCAGTGAGGTTCTTTGAAAAATGTGAGGACAAATCTCTTGGTTCACCTGTTGAATTTTCACTACATTTTGAGGTTACAAACCTTGGTGTTTGATACTCTTCAGCGGGTGCTACTGGAAGTGCATCTCTTTGTAGGACAGATGTGTCTGGTAGTTACAATGCAACTTCCCCCAATATGGGGGGACACAATGAAAGTGTTCACTGGTACCTGACTAATTAGTAACAGAAATGCTGCTTTTCTGAAGAATTGGCCACGATCATGTGTCAGATTTCAAATCTTGATTTTCCTTTCTCTTAAGGACATAACACCAACGTAGGAGCAATAGTCTTTCATCCCAAAGCCACTGTCTCCCTAGACAAGAAGGATGTTAACCTGGCGTCGTGTGCAGCCGATGGGTCTGTCAAACTCTGGAGCCTTGAAAGGTCAGAATGATACCAGACACACACAACTGCAGCATTATTGTTTTGGAGTTTATTTGGTGTTACTAAACATTGGACATTTACCATCCTCCTGCAAATATGACCTTTTCTTGTAGTTATACCAGTGCAATTCCTGGCCTCAGTATGTGCCACCTTCTTCAGCAGGAAAAGAGATGACCCTGATTAGGGGAATCAAGGTGAGGGAAGATCGTCTGAAAATAATCAAGTCAGAATTGCTGCTGGGCATTGGTAAACTGCTTTGGGTGACGGATGGAAGATTGGAGATTTTTTCATTCTAAGCTTTCATTTAGGAGAAAATTTCCCCTCTTGAATATTAAGAAATAAACTTTTGAGTTTTTGGAAAGCACTGGTATTCAGAAAGGGACTAACCAAATACATGACCATGCACAAAAGCTTCAGCCTGTAATGAAAACAAGTGGCTCTGTCATTGCACAGTGCAGTTTCGGAAGATGCACAGCATCTACTGCAGCGCACCTCCGGAAGAGGCAGGCAGCTCTGAGATTCTCAGCTGTTTATCCTTAGCTGCAAGCTAATTGCAGAAGCTTACCTGTGCAAAGGGACAGGTGGTTTATTGGTCTCGTGTGACTACGTCTCTCTAGTTAGCCTGTTGGAAAGGAACTAAATGCTGTTCAGGTTTTCTGCTGAAGTCTACTGACCTGCTGCCTGTAATTCTGGGAGAGTAAATATTTGCTCTCTCCTGCCTCCCTGCAATTCTTCAGAATAGCAGGATTTGCTGTGCTTCAGGGTGTGTTCTGTGTAGTCACAGTAAAATTCCCTGCAATTCAGGTAGTCCACATTTTGTTTCTGCACTTTCAAAGTGCTAATGACAAGGGCCTTGGTCATTTTCAGGAATAATAAATATCCCAGGAGAACTTAGACCTTTAGCTGCGTGAACAAAAGGCAGAATTCAGAGTTACTAATTAAAATGCTGATGCTTCTGTCTAGCTTGCATTTAATTAGCAGATCTTTTGCTGTGCTCATAGTGTTTGCAAAGACCTGTCTAGAGCCAGCCACCTCTGACCAGCGTCTGATAATTTTTGTTTCTGTTTTTCAGTGATGAACCGGTTGCAGATATTGAAGGACACAGCATGAGAGTGGCACGCGTGATGTGGCACCCGTCTGGGAGGTTCCTGGGTACTACCTGGTATGGAGATGTGGTTATTTGCTTTAAGATGTTACCATTAGCTCTCTGGTTGGTAGCTCAGCGGGTACCCCTGCTTGACTGCAGAGGAGCCCAGCAGGGACATGGGTTGGCCATTCCTGGCAACAGCTGGACTGTGGCAATGTAAATAACAGCAGGTCATTGGGATTCCTTTCTCTGCCCCTCACGTGAGACCCTGTTGGTCTCCAGCTGGAAATAAAATGCCTGCAGTTAGTGAGATAGCCTGTTACTCTCCTGGCAGATACATTTAGTTGGACAAATGCTTTGTTTTTATAGCTATGATCACTCGTGGCGCTTGTGGGACTTGGAAGCTCAGGAAGAGATCCTCCATCAGGAGGGGCACAGCAAAGGGGTCTACGACATTGCCTTTCACACGGATGGGTCCCTGGCTGGCACCGGGTGAGTTGGCTTCGCAGCAGGACTGGATGTGAAATATTATCAAGGTTTTGTGGCTGACCAGTGCCAAGCACCCCAGCGATTTCTGCTGGTGAGGCTGAGCGTGCTCCGGCAGTTGCTGAAGGCTCTGGCGGGTAATGCTCGCGTTCTCTTTCCTAGTGGGCTGGATGCTTTTGGTCGGGTGTGGGACTTGCGCACAGGACGCTGCATCATGTTTCTAGAAGGCCACCTGAAGGAGATCTACGGGGTTAACTTCTCCCCAAATGGGTAAGAGAAGAACTTGCATGCTTGACATGGAAGCTCCAAATACAAACCCCAGCTCCCAACACGTTCTTCCTCCACCCTGTGACAGATACCACGTCGCAACTGGCAGCGGTGACAACACTTGCAAGGTGTGGGACCTCCGCCAGAGGAAGTGCATCTACACCATCCCTGCCCATCAGAACCTGGTGACCGGGGTGAAATTTGAACGTAAGTACCTCCTGCTGGGTGTTCCTTATCCCTGCCTCTCCTGCGCTGAGGTGGCAGGGGATGGGGCAACTCAGACCTTCAGGTCAGGAAGGCCTGTACTGGTTAGCAGAGAAGATTGGTCATGTTTTTATTTGCAAATCTCACTTCTCCCTTTTTCTCATCCTCTGCTGCAGCCAATCACGGTAACTTCCTGCTCACAGGCGCTTACGACAACACTGCAAAGATCTGGACTCACCCCGGCTGGTCCCCGCTGAAGACGCTGGCTGGTCACGAGGGCAAGGTGATGGGACTGGACATCTCCCTCGACGGCCAGCTGATAGCGACCTGCTCCTATGACAGGACCTTCAAGTTGTGGACAGCGGAGTAGCCCAGAGGTGCTGCTGATGAACTGGAACGGAGATGTTAATGGCTTTCAACTAAGACTTGCTATTTTTATATTAAAGAGGGGAAAAAAAAAAAAAAAGGAATCGCTTACTGCACCACGCATTACGGCAGCTGTAGTCACTGGGTCTCGGGTTGAGGTGGTTTCAAAGCACCGTGTTTGCCAGGGCTTGGCTGAAGTCGCAGCTCAGGTGGTGTTTTTCTACTTTTTAGGACTTCATTTTTGTACTGCAGATACTGCTTTCTGCTGTATTTTGGAGATGATCTACCTGCTTCCACCCTCCCTTCCAAGTGAGGCTCGCAGATTTTCTCCAGTCTCTTTTAAGCATTCATAGGTAGCCACACAGCACCTCGGGTACGGCGTGTGTTGGTCAGCTGCTGTTAATACCCTTCTTGCCTTCAATTTTCCAGGAGCCTTTGATAGGAGTCTGTGGCCTCAAACGACATGCATTTAAAGAAAGAAAAACTAGCTGTCAGAGTTACAGAAACATAACTTCCCTGCCTCTGCAAAGGTAGCCTGAATGTGGAGGTCTGCATCCTTTTGCAGATTAATTAAAGTAGATGTTAAAGACCAGGGAAATTTTTCTTTTCCATGTCCCATCTTGTGTCCTAGCTCCTTGAGCAGTCTCACCAGCTGGGTCTTTCAAATCCACGTAGGCATCTCCTGGTTAAGTTTTTGCTGTGTCTCACCTGGGATAATAGGAAGGCGGCTATTTTGGTGTAGGACTGTCTTGTTCTAACTTACACTGTGGGGAGCTTTATTATTTGTTGTTTATTCTTTAAATTGAAGTTTTGGAAATGCTGTGTCCTGGAAAATCAAAACATGTTTTGAATGTGCACCCTAGCCTCTGGGTCTGACTAAGAAATAGAGAAATTGCAGGTACTTTGCAACACAGTTTGATTTCTGTCTGCTACTGTAAAAAACCTTCAGGAGAAAAGAGAAGACTGATTCATCAGCCCGTTGTCAGCTGGGGAGCAGCTGTCCGGGTTCCCTGGGAACACGAACCCGGTTCTGTTCTCAGCACTTGCACTGCAGTTGGAGATCGTGTATTAAGAAATAAAACCCAAACCTGTTCACAAGTTACTTTCCTTCTAGCGGAGTGGTGTGGGCTTTCTCCTCCCTCCCAAGTCCTGGGGTGTCATCTGCCACGTGCGGGGTGCTAGCTCTTATCTATTCCCAGGGAAAATACTGCCAGGTGAGAGGCCAGCGACAAACAAAACTATTTAATTGCACCTAACAAAACTAATTGCAGTCTGCCCTTCTACAAGCCTTGCTACCCGGCTCTGTGCTCAGGCTGGTTCCTAAGCAGCTCCTGAAGCGTCAGTTCAGGGCCAAGCTGGCAGCTGCGCGGGGGCTCCCAGCCCCACAGGTGCCCCCCAGGGTGTTTCTCATCAGGTTGCCATTCACGGGACAATCCTGGCCCAGCAGTTGCCCGGCAGGGTCCTGCCTTTCTCTCTGGCTTAGGATGAAATTTTGGATACCAGTGAATGTTCTGTGTTTACACTCGCGTCGTTCCCGGGGTGTAAATCCCAGTGCAGGTTTCCGTCACGCCGTGTTCAGCTCCACTCAACTGGAGCAAGGGGAAGGAGGCTGAGCATTCCCTGTCCCAGCCCTGGCACTGTTCAGTGCTGCCCGGGGCTGCTCGCAGCTTCTCTCCTCCTCCCTTAGCCCCCCCACGTCCAGCGAGCCAGCAACCGCCCCTGCCCCCCCCCCCCGTCACACTCCGCTGCTGTACAGGCACAGCGTCTGGTGCTTGCAGTCGGGGAGACTCTCGGGCAGTCGCAGCCCTTCGTGGGGCAGTCTCTGCTGGAGTTTTGCTACCATCAAAATGCTGCCACCTCCTCCAGCGCTAGGTCTGCACCGTCGCTCAGCCGGAGCACGTGAATTCCTGAGTTAAAAGTGGCACAGAGCAGCGTGGAGCTGTCGCAGACGGCCAGCGAGGTCAGCGGTCCCGATCCCTCGAGGCACAGGGTGGCCAGGCGTGCTGGGGAGGGGAGAGAGAAGTCACCTGGGACACGTAGTTTGGTGAAGTGAGACGCGACCACGCCAACCTCCCACCTCCTGGCTCTGCCCACGTGTGTCCGTCTGCTCGCCCGAGGCGGGTGAGCTGCACCCCTCGCTGTCCCGGCGCCCGGAGGCAGCGGGTTGTGCCCTCTGGAAGGGAGACCCCCCACCCCCGTAAGCCCCACGGGGGGCTGTGTGTTGCCCAGTCGGGCAGTGGGAAGCTAATGGGGATCCAGGCTGAGGTCAGGCTCTGCCCCTTCCCTGGAGAGGAAACAGGGATGGATGGACAGACTGACCTCACTGGGCAGAGCTGCAGGGCTTGTGTGGAGGCATTCCCAACAGGCCTTATGCTCCCAAATTGCCTGTGCTCCAGAAAAATTTTTCCTAAGGGCTGTGCTACACTCAACATGCAGTTTTGATAAGTCTCCAAAAGGGAAAGAGAAATAAGATTTACAATATCCAGTGCCACATCAGCCCTTCTGTTTACGTCTATTATTAAAAAAACCCTGAGGCAGTATTTGTGCAGACAGCAACCCCACGCTGAGCTGCTAACAGAGCTGTGTTTGCCACAGCCGTACAGGCAACTGCCTCTTGTGGTGACTTACACCCTCCCAAGAGCAGCTGAATGAAGGCTGACAGCTGTGGAGGTCACCCAGTTGTGAAGGCAATAGGATCAAAGCAAATCTGCTGCCAACCCCACGGCCGTCTCAGTGTGCACAGGCACCAGGGTGAAAGACAAAGTAAGGGAAACAAGGTGAGAGCTTTTCCGTGGGAGATCACCAGGTTTCTATTTTCCTCCTGTGATAAGTGCGTGCATCTGGAGAGGTGCTTAGCCTCAGGGGGTGTCTAATGCTGATGACTTCTGTGGCAGTCAGTGCACATCTGTGAACCTGAGTGGCTTCCCAAGAGGTCTCTGCCTTCTGTGCAGGGCGGTACAGACAAGCCTGCGGCTACAGCGGGGCTTGGCAGGTAAGCAGCCTTTGTGTCCAGCTCAGGTGAGGACTCAGCCCTCACCAAGTCCTCCAGCAAGCAAGGTTAACCCTGAAACACCCACGATTCCCCTTCAAGAGGATGACCAAAGTGAGGGCAGCTGCTGACCAGCCCTCCATCCTCCAGCACAACTTCTATTCTTTATAACTTTCTACTCGTATCTGTGGATAGCCCTGGAGTTCCCCTGTTCTTTTTTATTTTCTATGTATCTTTAAAAGCCATCTCATCATTGCTTCCTTTTAGTTTAGGAAGGACAGCTGTCATCTCTGACGTTATGGAGACAAACAACCTCCTTCACTGGAGGGCAAGCAGAAGGGCCTGGGTCTGTGCTGGGGCGTATCTCCACCCTGCCCTGCATTTGGATTAGAGTAAAACCCAGAGATTTCAGGCTTCACCATGCCCATCACCACTGGGAGACAGGAACGAAGGAAGCAGTTTTGTTATCCCAGGGCAAGGCACACTGAGTGGGCAGGACCCTCCCCTACCTCCAGTGTCTCTGTCCCAGACCTTCACCGTGCTGTCATACGAGGACGTGGCAATGCTGGGGGCGAGAGCTGGGCCCCGTGGAAGGAAGACGCATGAGGTTGTGGTCTGGAAATGCCCTTTGTACTCACGCACTTGGTTCCTCGTCTGCCGTAGGTCCCACAGCTGCAAGGCAACAGGCAGCGTTTATTGCTCAAGGCCCTTATTGTCACTTGCCAACATGGAGCTGTTTCACAAAGAAAGGAAGATGGTTTTGCATAAAGAGCTCCTCACCGACCCTCAGCGTGCAATGTCTGCTGCCTCTGTCCCCTGCTTATGCTCCGTCCTGGAGAACTTCAAGCCCTGAAGGATTTTCACCATCAGTGACTATTTGAGCGTGTGCCCACACCCGTTAGAGCTGATGGGCTAGGACTGTGCGGGCGGACAGCCACGTCTCCAGCCTGCTCCTGTCCTCAGCCCTGCTCTCCCTGGGATGGGATGGTCTCATCCTCCTCATGCTCACACTCAGGGCTGAGAACCTGCAGGACTGAATCCCTGCTTTGGAAACATCTGAAGCAAGGGGTCCCTTACAGACTGTGCAAGAACCGCATGCTCCTCGATGCCATTACTGAACTGAAACAACCCCCCGGTGCTTTAATGAAGAGGAATATCTGCGCAGACATCCTCTGAGCAGAAGACTTACCAAAGGGACAGACAGGAAGACACTAAGCTCTGGCCCTGGCTGGTGACACCAGCATAAGGCCAACTCAATGGGAGCAAGCAGATCGTTGGAGCTCTGAGCCCTCCACCGTATGCTGTGGACTCTGGAGAGAAAACTAGAAAAAGCAGGACTTGCCGCCCAGCAAACTCACGGTCGCCTCACCGCCCTCCCCGGCGGAGCCGCTGCTGCTGCTGAGGCAGTACCGCCCGTCCCGGCTCGCGTCGCAGCACGTCTGAATGTGCCTCTTGGCTGGGAACGCGTGTGCCACCTGCAGCTCCCGGCTGTCCCAGAGCCTGGAAGGAACAGGAGCGGGGAAGGGGGACTCTGATGCATCGCTGCCACGACGGGCTCCCCTCCGGGCCCTCCCGCACACCCTCGCTGCACCCTGATGCTTCGCCCTTGCTGCCGCCCCTCACGGGCAGTCCTGCGCCTTCCTCCCTGCAAGCCGAGCTCCCAGAGCTCTCGCTGTCCATGCGTGTATCTGTCCTGGATCAATCTCTAGCCAGAGCTGCTGTACTGAGCTTTGTTTTGTTTAATAAATTCTCCTTTTTACCTGCAGTCACCACCCAGCGCTGCTTACAGCCATGGGTGTCCCCATACTGTCCCCCTCTGGCAAGAGACCCCGCTCCAAGCCCCACGCGCACTGGAAGGTGGCTTCTAGCCACCCCAGTGGGGAACGGGAGACCAGGTGGTCATGACAAGCAACCAGAGAAACATCCCCTTGTGCACTGGCATCTTCCATAACCCTCATGTGCCCCAGGCTGTAACTCCCTTCTCTGTGCCCACACATAGAATTTTACCTGATTGTTTTATCCTCCGAGGTCTGGATGACGTAAGGCTCCCCAGGAACCCAGCACAGATGTGTGACCTGCAGAGAGGAAAGGATGAGCAGAAGCCCACCTCTGCGTGCAGCTCAGGCTGGTGTCCACCTGTAGACACACAGCTCCCATCCTCTCCCTCCTCCTGCTGGGTTGCGAGCAGGAAACGTTGAAGTTTTTTCCTGCTTCCCACCAGTGGTGCTCCCCCACCAGGCTCGATCCCAGTGTGGTTACTGGGGTTATTTGCAGGCAGGGAGGTGCCAACAGCTCAACAGCACAAAGAGCATGGGAATAGGGGTACCATGGGCATCAGAAGGATGGTATCCCTACCAGTTCCACTGCTGGGCTGGTACAGAAGGGAATGCAGCCCTCACTGCACAATGTGCTTCCTAACAGCTCTGAGTTAGAGCATTAATAAATTGCTATATGACTCTTGGTATCTTTGTGCTCCTGGATTTGTTGTTACCTGGAGAACAGAGTAACCAGCCTCAAGCCTCTCCCCAGGAGCACAGGCAACCTGCGCAGTGCCTCAAGGGATTCTTGCAGCACCAAGCTCAGAGCAAATTCACTCTACGTGGCTTCATGTGCGAAATCACCAAGCAGGCAGCGTGGTGCCATGGTAGGATGCAAGGAACCAGCAGCTCCTACCAGATTCCTGGAGATAGCGGCTCTGCCCAGACACTCTCCAGTCTCTGTGTCCCACTTGCACACGGTGTTGTCTCGTGAACCCGTGCACAGCTGGGAGGCATCTGCAACCACACGTTATCATAAAATAAAAGTCACCAAAAGTTGTCGGGAAATCCCTGGGGAATGGGAGCGTGTTGTTCCTCACCCGGGCTCACAGCCAGTCCAGTAACAACCAGATCATGTCCTGGGAAGTGCTGGCTTGGCCCTGAAGTCCTGTGAGGCTCCCACATCATCACTGTCTTGTCCCGGGATGCGCTGAAGACTCTGTTTGAGTCAAGGGCACAGGTGACCTGCCAAGGAGAAGATGGGAGAAGCCCGTCAGCCCCCCCAGCCAGCCCGGCTGTGCGCGGGGACAGCACAACACTCCTGCTGTGGTGTCAGAGCCCAAGGGGTGCAGAAGTGTGGCTGGGGAGAGGCTGACCTTCAGACCCCGTTTGTCCATGCGGGACGTGCACATGCTGGATTGCCTGACCGCTCATGCTGTGACTCCTGTTTGCTCCTGCTCTGCCAGATCCCAGCCACAGGCAAACCCCAACACCGCGGGGCCGGGGGAACCCACTCAGCCTGAGTGCAATTGCTGCAGCCTGTGTCGTGGCTGTGTGTGTCACAGCAGGGACTGTCGGGCAGATACTAGGGTGTGTGACCCGCTAGCGGGACCCACGTCCCCTCAGAACCAGGGAGCTGGATGGTTGTAGGGAACTGAAGGAATTAATGCCTCAAACATTCATCGGCACAGAAAGCCTCGTGGACAAGCTCAGCTGAGTGAAACCATGTTTGGGGTAAAAGATTGATAAGAGAGATAAACCACCGTCAGCAGATGGACCTAAGCAAAAACTGAGATAAAAATAAAGGGGGGGGCAGAGGGGCATGATCACTCAGTTGGACAAGGGGGTTAATGCACCCCATCCCCCTCAATGCATGTGCAGAGCCCATGCTCCACCTTTTCCTCGTCTCTCATGGAAATTAGCTCGTGGAATACCTGCCTCTCTTTGTCTAGTATGCTGATCAGCTGATAAGATGAACTTAAAAGGCGACAGAAAACTTTGCTGTGTGTGCATCCACCGAAGATTTCTGCACCTCAGACAACTCTGGAACCGGGGTGGTGATCCAGACTCTTCTTCTCTACTTTCCTTTTCTTTCCGTTCTTTTCTTTCTTATAATCAATAAGAGACCATACTGCTTACTATCCTTTTCCAAGTTTAAGTTGTTTCTACCACCAGTAAAACATTTTAACCGGTCATTTGGTGTCGTTTCACCTTAATTTAACCCAAGGGTGTCACAGAACCCTTACGACTCCCTGGGATCCCCGTCTGGGTTGTAACAATGGTGGATGGGTGTTCTTGGATCTTGTTCTCAGAAACTATTAATTTTATGGGTAAAACTCCCTTAAAAGCCCGTGTGAGCCCAGTGCATGGTTGCTTTGAGCACTGGGATGAACGAAGCCGCCTTCATGCCTCCAATGCCCACAGCACAGGGGCCCCAGGGGGCTGTCCCCAGCCGGAGGTGCCCCAGCCACGCCATGCACACATGTACACACCCCTGCACATTTGCCCTCCGAGTAGGGTGTTTGGCTTTGTAATCAGGATGCCAGAAGGAAAGTTAAAGCCCCGCTGTTCCCAAGCATGGCTGATTTGTAGAATAATGATGAGTCTAGCAGAATGAGACCTGAGAAAAAGTGAATGGCATCTCTGAATCAAAAACTAAACCTAGTAATGCATCCTGAGTTTTTACTACACAGTCTCTTGGAGGGGATGATAAGCACATGTCCAAGCCTCCCAGAGCCCTCTTCAGCCTGGATGCAACCACTCCATGCTGCTTCCCTGGACAGCAAAGTATCAGCTGGGACCTTGGGAAAAACCTAACACATGCTGATACCCCAGCCTCTCTTTCTGATGGAGCAAAGCAAGAGTCCTGTGGATGACAAACTGTTGCTCCCTCATTCCTGGTTCTCCAGTTTCTGACAGGTAAGAGTAGAGGAGACCCCACCACGCGCGACCGGTTGTCGCTCACCTTGGTGACCTCCCGCTCGTGCCCGTCGAAGCGCCGCAGCAGAGCCCCGGACCTCCAGCTGCAGACAGCCACGCTCTGCGGAGGAGCAGGGAGAGGCAATCAGCCGTGGCAGCAGGAGAGCTGGTGAAGGAGGGTTATGTGTGTTCTTGGTTACATTACACCGAGCCCCCCGTGCACAGGCCAGGCTTGGAGAGGGAACGGGTTCTTCTGGTTTTGAGCTCCTACAGCACACACAACTGTCTTTAGAGCCCGTCCATTGCCAGGTAACATAAGGGCCAGTCCAGTGATTCCAAGCCTGGGTGAAAGCATTTGATGTGACCTCAGCTCTGGAGAAATTATACAATTTGATTCATTGTGCTTCAGTATGTGCCCTCACTCAAAGCTCATCTCTTTTTTTTCTAAATTCAGGAACTGACAAAGTTGCTACCATTGATGGAAATGTTTGAAGCTCACATTTAAACCTAGTTTTCCTAACCTGTGACTGTGCTTTGTGCCCTGTGGCGAGGGGTACCTCACCTTATCGCTTCCTCCTGACACGCAGAGGTCTGGTTTGAGAGCAGCCACAGAAGTGACGGCACCGGCGTGCAGGGGGCCGTGCTGCGGAACGGCTCCGGCAGGTCCCGTCCCTTCCACGGAGCCATCGGCCCTGCAGCAGCAGAGAGAGCAGCGGGAGCCACAGGGCGCTTTAAAGCAAAGTCGGGGTGCCGTTCCCCAGTGCCACCGAGGTCTGGGGGATGGCACCACTGGCTGGGCTGGAGAGTGACAACATCTGCCTTTGGAGAGCCAAAGAGAAGCTGCAAATGGACAAATGCATCTGCTGGACTAGGTGAGATAGAGTAGACCTGTTCCACCCCTAGAGCTGCTCACTCCATGCCGGTACAAAGAAGAAAAGAAATTTTGATCTTACCAGCCTCCACTTCCACTAACACCTTTCAGGCTCTGCTGCTCTTTGCTCTGACGCCAGCCTTGCCGAGCACATCGAGTCCCCCCTGCTGCCACTCTGTGCTCTCAGCTGATCTCCAGGCAGAGATCGCCCACCTTGCTGCTCGATACCAAATTATTCCATCTTGCCAATGAAAGCTGATGACTGTCTCTGAAGAGACAACGAAGCGGTTTGGATATCTAGGCCACCCCTGGAGCTGTTAGCCCTCAGAGCTCTGCCTTAGCCATCACAGAGCACAACCACCGGCCACGTTTACACGCTTGGCTACATTTTGGATTTCAGTCCCCCAAAGAAACTGAGCAGACTTTAGAAGCAAGGATCAAAAATGAAAGTATGATTCATACCTTCAAAAATGAAACTAAAACCACATGCTTGTTATATTCTCTGTTCATTTGCTGTTCTCTATTCACTCTCATAACTGATTTATTAACTTAAGACATAATCATTTGGGGTTGTTTTACCTGTATTTGGAGGTATGGAAGCTGATTTTACTCTGGAGTTTCCCCATAGCCCTGCTGACAAGCACGGGTCCCACTGCAGCCAGCACTGGTGAGCATCACATCAGCACCTCAGGCACTGGCTGCCGGGACAAGACCTGTGGGTGAGGAATTGCAGCATTACTGGGAATCCAGAGAGGTTTCTGCTTGTTACGTATATGGGTTAAGGTGCTGATAACACAGTATCTACATTTTAACTTAATTTAGAATAATAGGAAAAACCTCAGAGGAGGGAACATCTGGAACTCCCTAGATGAACCTTTTGCTTAGAGCAGAGCCAGCTTCAGAGGTGAGGTTACTGGGACCTTACAGCTGAGCTTTAAAAATAGCCAAGCTTGGTGAGGCCACAATAGAGGTGGAGCTGCAGCCTATAATTCTCCTAGTGCCTTACTCCTCCTGTTACTCCAGTATCTGCTCTTGGCTTCCATATTTCCCAGAGATGCCAATCTCCAGACTGGTGATTGCAAACACCTTCAGACTGAAGTTCATACAGCCAGCTGGTGGGACGGTATCTTTAGACCAAGATAACCGCACTCACAGGCAGCCCGAGCTTAATTGGACCAGCCTGATTTAAAGCTTGAAGCGGTCTTTCCACAGGCTGAGGAACATTTTGAGAACAGCCACTTCTATGTCCAAACTCCAACCCCAGGTCCAGGCTAGATAAGACCATCTTGATCACTCAGATGCATTCAGAAAAAAACATACTTGCTGTGCAGGCTGAGAGCAGCCTGCCCTGGCCCAGGGCACCCCTCACAAGCAGCATCACGACAGCCAGATCCCACGCGAGCACCCGTCTGGGTGGAGGAGCCCCCGGCAGAGCAGGGCTCGGGCCGGGGCAGCATCTCTCCCTTTTATCCTCACGGCTCACAGACGGAGCAGAAACCAGTTCCAATGACAGTGAATTGCCACGTAGAATAACTGATTGCTTCATAGCTCAAGACATCCTAATTGGATTTAGCCTGTACTAACTAGGTCTATGTTAGCATTCCTGTCTTCTGGGTCAGTAGTATTTTGCTAATGAAAATCAGGGAAAAAACCCACCTGCAAGATCTTCCAGCAAAGAAGAAAACCTGCTTTAAGGCTCTGCCCACAAAAACTTGAAAACCAAATACTGGAAGCACTAAGCAAGAGGGGTTGGATTTCTACAAAGCATTCTCTTTCTAATTTTACCCTGCCAGCCTTTGTGATTAGCAATTAGTAATACCCAGCTAATCTCCCCCTGTTCTATCCACGAGTTTGCACGTTCAAAAGAATGTGAAGAATGATATATCTCACAGTTGAGGGGCAGTGACAATTCGGCAATTTACTTCTTTCAATCAGGCCAAGTGTCCAAATTATTTCAGTACATTAGGAACAAAGGTGATTTTTCTTTGGCAATGGCAGAACTCTGGAAATTGTTTCTCCTGCAAAACAAGATTCTAGGAAAAAGCTAAGATGTAAATTCTGATTTTTTTAATTATGACAATTACTCTGTTTCCCAACCAGCAGTTAGTTTCCCCACTCATGCGCTTAATGTACACATGCAATCATCCCTACCCGCACATCAGCTCAAACCGAGCTGGATCACAGCAGAGAGCTGCCGGGAAAGGCGGGAGGCTGCAAGGAAGGCAGGAGGTCAATCCTCTGTCTAACTGCATTCTCCTGCCTCTTGCTCACTGCAAAAAAGAGTAGACTTTTCTGAATCCTGAACGAGAACAGTAGCTGCTCAGGCAGGATGTTAATCTGAGGTTTTACCATCTGGCAGGGTTCCCGACACGTCTATCAGGAACCTGGTCCATCATAAAGCTCTCATAACGCAGGGATCCTGCAGCAACTGATCCATACAAAGCTACACCTCCTTCGTGCTGGAGGATCTCCTGGCCTTCCTTCCCCTCAGATGCATTGCTTGACAGAAATCAAAAACATTTTTTTTTCTAAATCGTTTTTAAAAAATAACCCACGCTGCTGCCTAAGCCTGTCCAGGTGCCGCAGTGAAATCCGTACCATGGATTAAAGAAACGACAATATCCACAGCAGTGGGCACAGAAATCACAGCAGTGCTTTCTCCCCATTTCCACGGGGTGTTAGACATCCCTTAGAAGAGGGGCGGTTAACCACCTCTGGGGAGGGCACAGGGCAGCCCCGAGTCCCTGTGGCCGGGGGTGACCCCGCAGCGATGATGCAGGTCCCTACAGCTGGGGGTGGCCCCATGGGTGCACGGCGGGTCCCTGCAGATGGGGGAGCCCCACGGGTGTGGGGATATGGGTGCAGCCCGGGGCGCTAGAGCTGGGGCAGCCCCCGGGAAGGGTGTGGGGACAATTCGGGTGCCTACAGCCGGGGCAACCCCACAGGAAAGCTACGGGGCAGCCCCCGGGAAGGGTGTGGGGACAATATGGGTCCCAGCCCCACGACAAGGACACGGGGTGACCGGCCCAGCCCCAGCCCCGGGCACCCACCGTGTGGGGCCCGGCCCCCGCCCTGCACTCACCGGGGGCCGGGCCCCGCCGCCCCGTCCCGTCCCGTCCCGTCCCGTCCCGCCCGGCTCCTCGGCGGCGGCCGGGGCGGAGCGCTGTGCGCGGCCCGGGCGGGGCCGCCGCCGCCCCCGCGGCAGGTGCCGGGGCGCAGCATGGCCCAGCGGGGCGGGGGGCCGCGGCCGCTGCCGGAGCGGGCGGCGGACCTGCGGGTGAGCGACGGCGGGGAGCGGGCCGGGAGCGGGAGCGGGAGCGGGGCCGGGAGCGGGGCCGGGAGCGGGAGCGGGAGCGGGAGCGGGAGCGGGGCCGGGAGCGGGAGCGGGAGCGGGGCCGGGAGCGGGCCGGGAGCGGGGCCGGGAGCGGGAGCGGGAGCGGGGCCGGGAGCGGGAGCGGGGCCGGGAGCGGGAGCGGGGCGGGAGCGGGAGCGGGAGCGGGGCCGGGAGCGGGGCCGGGAGCGGGAGCGGGAGCGGGGCCGGGAGCGGGAGCGGGATCCTGCCCGGTCCCCGGGGGCGCCGCAGCCTCGGGCCGGGGCCCTTCCCCGGGGCCCGCGGCGTGTGGGGCTGCCAGTGGCGGGGGAGGAGCGGGGCCGCGCCTCAGCCCGGAGTCGCGTGGGGAGTGCTGGTGTGTGTGTGTGGGGGTCTCGCTGGTGGGGTGTAGGGCCGTGTGGGGGGCCCCCCGTGGGGAGGTGGGTTCTCTGCGGAGCCCCTGGTGCGGTGCGGAGATGCTCAGAGGGTCCCCCGTGGGGATGGGGGCTCGCTGTGGGGTGCCTCGCAGGGTGTGGGGGTCCCTGGTGGGGTGTAGGGACATGTGTGGGGTCCCCCGTGGGATGGGGGCTCGCTGTGGGGTGCCTCGCAGGGTGTGGGGGTCCCTGGTGGGTTGTAGGGCCGTGTGTGGGGTCCCCCGTGGGGATGGGGGCTCGCTGTGGGGTGCCTAGCAGGGTGTGGGGGTCCCTGGTGGGGTGTAGGGCTGTGTGTGGGGTCCCCCGTGGGATGGGGTCTCGCTGTGGGGTGCCTAGCAGGGTGTGGGGGTCCCTGGTAGGGTGTGGGGCCGTGTATGGGGTCCCCAGTGGGGATGGGGGGCTTGCTGTGGGGTGCCTCGTAGGATGTGGGGGTCCCTGGTGGTGTGTAGGGACATGTGTGGGGTCCCCCGTGGGGTGGGGGGAGACTCTTTATGGGGAACTGGCAGGGTGTGGGGCCACATGAGAGGTCCCCTGTGGGAACGGGGGCTCGCAGTGGGGCTGTGAGGGGCCCACTGTGGGGAAGGGGGCTCTCTGTGGGGTGGTGCATGAGGACCCTGAGGGCTGTGGGGCCGGGTGGGGGCCCGGTGGGGTCTGTCTGGGCAGGGGGCTGGGGGCCACTGTCGCCCTGCGCGCTGCCCGCCGCTCTGCGTTCCAGAACAAGATCGTGGACCGGTGCGAGCGGCTGCAGCTGCAGAGCGCTGCCATCGCCCGGCACGTGGACCAGGTGCTGCCCGCCAAGGACCGGGGCGTCCTGGTAAGTCCCTGTCCCTTCTCCCAGCTCAGTGTGGAGCCGGTCCCGCGGGCTCGCCGCTCCCCTGGGGAGATGCTGAGCTCGAGGGGGGCTTGTCGGTGTGCAGGGGTTTGTGTCCCCCCCCCCCCCGACTCCACAGCTTGTGCAAGTGGCGTGCCAGGGTGTGCCTGCGATTCCTGCTTCATCTGTCCAAAAAATGTACACGAACAACAAATTTCTTGGTGTTAGTGTTGCAGCCATTAAACATCCCACTAGGACCAGTCTTAACGATTTCTGAATTTTTTTGTGTTTTGCTGCCACCAAGGACAAAAGGCAGTTCTCATGGTGGTTGTTTCCAGCTACTAGTGAATCCAGGAAGATCTGCTGAGGGATGGGACTCTGGTCCCTTGCAGGCTGTCACTTAGGTACCACGGTTAGGCCTGGAGGCAGTAGGCGGGTTTGGGACTGGTTGTCCTGCTTACCTCTGCTTGCATCATGATGAATACTGTGTGGGCTCACTTAACAGAGTAATCTTAACAGCTGAGCCTGCAGAAAGCTGGCAGAAGCGGTTGGTGATCTTGTTGGGGATGAAGCAAGGCTGATGTTTCTTCCTCTCTCCTTGCTCTGGCAGAACGCAGCCAACGCAGCACGGGAGCTGGTAATCCAGAGACTGATCTTCGTGGGGAACGCGTGTGAAAATGAAGAACAGCGGTTGCTGGAGAAGGTGCACACGGAGGAGGAGCGGGCACACCAGAGCATCCTGACCCAGCGGGTGCACTGGACTGAGGCTCTGCAGAAGCTGGCTGCCCTCCGCACATACCTGGTGGACATGATCACCAACCTGGACGACCAGGGCCTGGTGGTGAGTACTGCTCCTTGTACCGAGGGACAGGGCAGTCAGCCCAGAAGTGACCTAGACTTTTTATCATGGATATTTGGGGACTTAAATACAGCGTTGAGCAGCTTGCTGCACTGACAGGAAGGAGGCAGAGTTGGACAGGACCTATGTTTGCAGGTCTAGCTCAAGGAACCTCCTTCACCTGGCCCTGACAAGCTCCTGTGGTTTCTCAGTGGTTCCTAGAGCATCTGCTCTTCCTGATTCTGCTTTTTTTTTGCCGTGAAGTTCAGAACCACCCCAGCTCAGAACTTCAAACTCTCGTCTTGAAGCTGCTGGCTCAGGACATCTATGGATCCAGAGCTGCTCTTACAGCAGTCAATTGGGCCACCAGTTTTCTAGTGTTATGTCTAGTTTTACTCAAAACGTGACCCTTGGGAACACCTGCAGATTTTCTTGCAGGTCTGCTCTGTTGTCTGGCATACCTCTGTTTGGGATATTTACCATGCAAAGCAGCCCATGCTTCCCTTTGCTCAGTTCCTTTCCTGGCCATTCAATTGTCTCGATTTACCCACGCAATTCCTCTCATTTTAGATGCTAGCGAGTAGGCATTGAAGCACCTTGCACTTAGCCTCTGCTTGCCATGTTAACTTTGTGAAGAGGCGGGAAGCAGCTCTGCTTGGAAAACAGAACTGATCCCACAGACAGAAGATAGATGGCTGTTCCTTTGCTGGGAAATGCAGCTTCTGTCCTGCTGCAGCAGCTCATCTGGTTGGGCTGTGGCATCACTGTAGAGAGCAGAGGTTGGAAAGCAAGATGCTTCAGATGCCTGTGGCAGAAAACAGCGAGACCCTCAATTTCTCCTTTTGCCACGTCGTGGAGGGGAAATAGGGATCATACATTCTCCACCTTGGATCACTGGCTTTGGAATTTGGGTCTGTCAGGAATCAATACGTGTCCTGTCACAGGAAGGTGAAAAGCACACAGAGCACACTGCAGCTCGTGTTTGAGCAGGGATGAAATATTTTTCTACCACTTTGCTAGTTGGGATGTACCTTGAGAACACACCAAGGCCAGGGGTACAGAAAAAGGTGGGACGGACTGATTGTGAGGTTATCTGACTCTTGGCTCACATGCTTTGCTGCTTCACCCCTTATTGAAAGCTTTGGGGGTTGTTTGCTGCAAGCACAGGATGTTCTTGCAGCGTGCCCTAATGGGCTGGGGAAGGAGGGGGGACCTCAGGGCTGGGGTTTTCACATTCTGGGCAAGGCAGGGTGCAGCAGTGAGAGCTCCCAGATGCAGACAGGCTGGTGTCTATCAGAGGGCATGGAGCCAGAGCTGGTGCTTCGTGGGTCTGAGATTTTCCACCTGCCCCAGCTCTCCCACGTTTCCCCTGTGCCAGACA